GTATCTTTATGTAGCCCTGAATGGTCTGGAACGCCCTACATAAACCAGTCTGACCTCACAGAGATCCTCCTGCCTCTGCCTCCTGAGTGCTGGGATTAAGTTGCGTGTCTCCTAAATTAAAATTTTAATTTTTATGTTTAAATTGATCAGTTTTCTTACTAGATATGCAGTTATTTTATTCAAGATGTAAAAAGTGATATTTTTTATGAGATAAGATCCCATTGTGACCTCCAACAAACAGAGCTCTGCCTGCCCTTGTCCCTGACCACTGAGATTAAAGGTGCTCACCAGGCTCAATAAGGGTTTCATTTTTCTATTTGTTTTATTTGTGGTTTCACTTTTAAAATAAGTCTTCTGTTTTGTTAGCATATATTACTGTTATGAAATAAAGGGTTTATTTTGGTTTTTCCATTTTTCCTTTACATTTTATTGTTGGGGGATGGAGGCATTTGTGTGAAATGATGCATATATGGGGTCACAAGACAACTTGTGGGACTCAGTTATCTCCTTCAACCCTATGAGTTCTGGGGATTGAACTCGGGTTATCAGCCTTGGTTATCGTCTGAGCTGTCTCAATGGCCCCAATTTTTGAAATAACTTTCTTCTCTGTACTAAGCACATTCACTAGGCCCCTTGTTGTCCTCCAGATTATATAAGCACTAAGACTGCTGACGTCACTCTCAGAAGAGGCTCAGACCAAACCTGCTTGGCAGAAGAAACAAATACAAGCATCCTGGAAGAAGCAGAGACCAGTGTCACAGTCTAGAGCAGTGGTCCTCACCCTTCCTAACACTGTTTAATACTTTCTTTCTTTCTTTTTTTTTTTTTTTTTTTTTTTTGGTTTTTCGAGACAGGGTTTCTCTGTGGCTTTGGAGGCTGTCCTGGAACTCACTTTGTAGACCAGGCTGGCCTCGAACTCACAGAGATCTGCCTGCCTCTGCCTCCCGAGTGCTGGGAGTAAAGGCGTGTGCCACCAACGCCCGGCTCTGTTTAATACTTTCTAACACATGTTCCTCATGTGGCGGTGCTCCCCCAACTGTAACATTATTTTCATAGCTACTTCATGACTGGAACTTTCCTCCTGTTATGAATTGTACCATAAATAGCTGTGTTTTCCCATGGTCTCTGAAAAGGTCATTCCAGTCCCCCAAAGGAGTCATGACCCACAGGCTGCGAACCGCTGGCCTAGAAGAAACCAGAACCACCAGGCTGCCTAAAAGAAGCTCAGGCCAACTGAGCCACCAGACTGTTGAGCTGCCTGCAGGGTGTGAAGTGTGCTCTGGGTTCCCAGCTTTTGTGAGCTCTCACGCATACTGGGGTGGACTTCGGTGATGCCTCTGTCTTCAGAGTCCTTTCTGCTCCTGTCAGTAACCCCTCACCCGTATTCCTGTCAGTAAGCCCAGTAAAACTGACTGGTTCATCAAGTTGCACTTTGGTAGTAGGATTCGTACTTTGGTCTGTCCTCAGCTCCCTATCTGCGGTGAGTAGACACTTATTCTCTTCTCTCCAGGAATAGTGTCTCAGAACAGATGGCTCATTGGTGAGCAGTGAGTTTACTGGGATCACCTGCAAGTGTGTCTGTTCTGCTCTGCTTCTATTCTGGGTCACCCTTGGGTTATTAACACTCCAGTAAGCTCATCTGGTGAAGCTGAGAGCATTCTGATTCCTTTCATTAGAATTCTATGAACTGAGGCCAGGCACTGTGGGTAAACACCTTTAATCCCTGTACTCAGGTGACAGAAGCAACCACATCTCTGTGAGTTCAAGACCAGCCTAGTCTATATATAGTTCCAGGCCAGTAGGGCTACATAGACAGACCCTGACTCAAAAAAAAAATCTATAAATTGAGTAGGTAAAGTGATAGGCCTAGCCCATGGTCAGTACCCAACAAAAAGTGTTATGTTTAAGATACATATTCATTGGTCAGAGAGAGCACTTGCTGCTCCTTCAGAATATTGAAGTTTCTAATGTCCACACTGGGTAGCTCACAACCCAGGAACTACCTGTAACTCAAGCTTCAGGGGATTTTGGAACCCTATTCTGGACTCGTTGGGAACTTGTACTCACATACACAAAACTACACACACACATCACATCACATTAAAACAAATAGAAAAGATACATACATTGTGTGTGTGTGTGTGTGTGTGTGTGTGTGTGTGTGTGTTATGAGGGAACCTCCATCCATTCCATTCGCGTTGTGTGATATTTTGGTTTTTGTTTGATTTTTTTGAGACGGGGTTTCTCTGTATTGTTTTGGAGATTGTGCTGGAACTCGCTCTGTAGACTAGCCTGGCCTGGAACTCAGAGATCCGCTTGCATCTGCCTCCCGAGTGCTGTGTTTGAACAAATAAAGCTTGCCTGGAGATCAGAGGGTGGAGCTAGCCACTAGTTAACTTTAGAGGTCTGAAGGTCTGTACAGACAGGAGATAGGAAGTGATAAGGCTGGGTGGAGACAGGAAGTGATAAGGAGTGGGTGGAGACAGGTTCTGGACCCTTTTGGTCAGAGAATTCAGAAAGTCCACGGTGGCTGCTGCTCTGCCTCTCTGATCTTTTCAACTTTTACCCCGATATCTGAACTCTGGGTATTGATAAGATTAATCTTTATTGATAAGATTAATAGGATCCTGCTTCACATTTTTCTTTTATTTTGTGTTTTAAAATATTATTTTGAAACAAGATCACTCTCTCTAGCCAGGATGTCCTAGAGCTTGCTGTATAGCCCAGGCTTGCTTCAAACGCAATCATCCTGTCTCATCCTCCCAAATGATTTTGTTTGGTTTTGGTTTTGTGGATGGATGGGGTAGGGGAGGCAGGAGAGATGGCTTAGTGTTTAAGGGCACTGACTGTTCTTGCAGAGGACTGGGTTTTGGTTCCCAGCACCCATGTGAAAACTCACTGCAGCCTGTAACTCCAGTCCCTGGGGATTCAATGCCTCCTTTCTGGTTTCCTTGGGCATTGCATGCTCGTGGTGCATGGGCATATATGCAAAACATCCATGCACATGAAATAAAAAGAAAAGAAAGGATTACTGTGGGAGTGCTGGAGAGACGTCTCAGTGGCTAAAAGTACCTACTGGCCTTGTAGAAGATTGGGGCTTGGTTCCCAGGACTTACATGGTGGTTTACAACTGCCTGTAACTCTAGTTCCAGAAGATTCAAAACCCTCTTCTGGCCTCCATGGGCCCCTGCATGCTTGTGGTGCACATGCACACATGCAGAAGCACACACACACACACACACACACACACACACACACACACACACACACACACACACACACACAGATGCATGGCCAGCAAGATGACTCTATTGGTACAACCCCTTGTCCCACAAGATGGCAGGAGAGAACTGACTCCCAAGGGCTGTCCTCTGACCTCTACCTGAGTACAGTGGCACCTGCCTCACCTCCACGCACACAAAAGAATGATGCCAAACGCCATGGAGTGTCAAATGCCTCTGCATCCTCTAGAGATGCCCTGCATGTTTCTTTTCTAGTGAAAGATCAAAGGTAAAAGTCATGTACATAGCTATACTGAGAAATCTTTCTCGAAGTATGAGAGCCAGCGCCACCAAAGCAGGTGGGACATGCTTTTTTTTTTTTTTTAAGATTTATTTATTGCCGGGCAGTGGTGGTGCATGTCTTTAATCCCAGCACTCGGGAGGCAGAGGCAGGCGGATCGCTGTGAGTTTGAGGCCAGGCTGGACCGACAGCCTCCAAAACAATACGGAGAAACCCTGTCTCATAAAACCAAAAAAAAAAAAAAAGTTTTCAGCAAGAAAGAAATGTCTAGTTGATTACTCTTGCTAGTGTTCTGTCTGCGTGTATGCTGCAGGCCAGAAGAGGGCGCCAGATCTCATGACAGATGGTGTGGTTGCTGGGACTTGAACTCAGGTCCTCTGGAAGAACAACCAGTGCTCTTAACCACTGAGCCATCTCTCCAGCCCCAACATGCTATTCTTTTGAGTATATGGCTGGATTCTCTTTGCCCGGGTTTTATTTAAGAGTTTGCATTGTACTGAAACCCATTTGTCTGGGCTTTTCTTTGCTAGGTTTGGAATTGACACTGGCTTTATGAAGTTAAATGTGGACATTTTCCTCCTTGCTTTACACTGTGGGACTTAACTCATAAAAGAATTTCCTGGACCTAATAGTAGGACACACTTACTTTTCAAAGGGGGATTAACATGGGTTTGGTTCAGGCAAGGCTCCCGATTTCTTTGAGAGTCATTGTCCTAGAGTTTCTATTGCTTTAATGAGGTTCCCTCTTTTCAGATGACTCTAGTGTGTGTCAACTTGACATAAACTAGCCAGGATGAGCTGGATGTTACGTCACATAACTTTAATCCCGGAACTTGGGGGGGGGTAGAGGCAGGCAGGTCTCTGAGTTCAAGACCAGCCTGGTCTACAAAGTGAGTTCTGGGACAGCTAGGGCTACACAGAGAAATCCTGTCTCAAAACAACAATAACAACAACAAAAAACCAACAACAACAACGACAAAAAAACTAGCCTTGACACAACCTATCATTGTTACACTATAGCCTTTCCTTGTTCATCCCCAAGATCACCAATAAACACCAACGTCACAATATAAAACATTTGCAAACTCTCAAAGTCCCACGGTCTTTACAAATTTAAACACTTTAAAAATTCAGTCTCCTTAAAAATCGATATCTTGCCAGGCGCTGGTGGCGCACACTTTTAATCTCAGCACTCGGGAGGCAGAGGCAGGTGGATTTCTATGGGTTCGAGGCCAGCCTGGTCTACAGAGTGAGTTCCAGGACAGGCTCCAAAAACAACAGAGAAACCCTGTCTCGAAAAAAAAAATCCAAATCTCTTCTAAAACTCAGTATTTGAACTGTGGACCTCTGTAAAATAAAAAATAAGTTCAATACGTTCTTCAAGAGGGAAGAACCAGGGCGCATAACAATCTGAACAAAACAAACAAAACTACGAAAGGGAAAATAACTCAGCGTCCAGTTATCTGCGATTCACTCACTGTTTTGTGTGCCCCTTCAGAGAGTTCCTCCTCGTCTCTGGCTCTGCTCTCTGCAGCACACAGCTCGTCTTCTAGGCTCCACATCCGCTGCTGTTCCTGGTGGTCATTGCATGGTGCTGGCATCTTCAAAATGCTAGGGTCCCTTTCACCAACAGGTTCCCTTCAGGGACTCCAGCCCTGCCACACAGTGCCAAGCCTCAGCTGCTCTCCATGACCCCTTCGTGCCTTCAAATCTAGCACCACCTGGGTGACTCTTACACTACCAAGTTCAGCTGCCGGCACCAGGTACAACCTTGGCCGCCTCTGAAACACAACTTCGTATGCTGACTCTTAGGAAATACTTCCCAGGAAGATTTCATCTCAGTGATGCTGGTCTCTTGTTAATCACAGCTGCTTCTTCAGCCCCAGCTGGCCAGCATCCACTGTCCCAGAAAAGCAAAAGTTTCACTTCAGTAGTGCTAGTCTCTTGTTAATCATCAGCTCCAGCTGGCCAGTACCAGATTCTTAGCTCAAATGGCCCCATAGTCTTCGCTTCCCTCTGGAACTTCACAAGCCGGGTCTCCATCGTCCACACTGCTCTCAGCATTCTTATCTTCCAGGTTCCTACAGAACATCCCACTGAGCTCTCGACACTTAATGGCTTTTCTAGCTCGAAATTCCAAAGTCCTTCCACGGTCCTCCCATAAACAACAGGGTCAGGTCTGTGAGATCAATACTCCACTATCCTGGCCCCAATTTATCTTAGTTAGAATAACTACTGCTGTGATTAAACGCCATGAAAGGCTTTGTTCGGCTTTCACTACCACATTGCAGTCCATCACTGATGGAAGCCAGGACAGGAACTCAAGCAGGGCAGGAACCAGGAAGCAGGAGCTGAGGCAGAGGCCACGAAGGACTGCTACCTCCCGCCTTGCTTCCTCTGGTTTGCTCAGCCTGCTTTCTTATAGCACCCAGGACCACCAGCCCAGGGATGACCCCATCCACAATGTCAACCACTAATTAAGAAAATACCTTACAGCTGGATCTTATGGAGGCCTTTTCTCAGTTGAGATAACTCTAACTTGTGTCTGTTGTGCCCAACTGGCAAAGTCCCCAGAGACCACGAGGAAGACAGACCCACCAAACTGCAAAAGCAAGGTTTTATTGATTGTTCATCCACCCATGACAGGGACTCCAGTCTAGCAAGCTGACACAGCAGCCTCCAGCGGGAGTGAAGTCCCTGTCTACTGCTAGGTTTTAAAGACAAAAGTTTACATCAGTAGGTATGGGTTGGTTTCCGATTGGTTGACACTTGGGAACAATTAGGAGAATTTTTCAAAGTCATGTTTTGGCAGAAATATCTGTGTACCAATTATTCTCGTTGGCCAGTGCTGAGAGGGAACATTCTGTGGTTTCTATGGCTTTGTCTTGTCACTTGCATGTGGCCTGTTGTTCATAGATACCAATAGTTTTCAGAACTGTATCCTGGAGACTACAGGGGAGATTTTGGTCCCTGTAAGCATTTCAGGCGGATCAGGATGGGTCAGGTATTCTGTAGCCGGCCATGGCTTCTAAAGCAGGGGGCTGAGTGAGGGTCTGGCCCCTTTACTTTTAAATTATTAGAAGTGAAGCCTTTGAGTTTAGTTTACCCCTTTCAGTGTCAAGTTGACATAAAATTAGCCAGGACAGCCACTAATATGTTTAGATCTTTGCTCTTTTTTTTTCTGAGACAGGTTTTTCTGTGGCTTTGGAGGCTGTCCTGGAACTAGCTCTTGTAGACCAGGGTGGTCTCGAACTCACAGAGATTCACCTGCCTCTGCCTCCCGAGTGCTGGGATTAAGGCATGTGCCACCAATACCCAGCCTAGATCTTTGCTCTTAATGTCACACTCATTAGTTATTCACATTTGACATAGCAAATAAAAATATAAGATGCCAAATAAGCCTAAATTTCAGGTAAATACCATTGTATTTAGTCTGAATGTGTCCCAATACTGAAACCTTATTCATTTTTCCTAGAAAGCATTTATTGTCAAAATACTTGCCTTTTTAATAAGAATGAATAATATTTTATAGTATTTTAACATCTTCTATATCTATATTTGCAGTTAGTTCTCCATCCTAATGTATTATTTTGTGCATTTATACTTCCTTCAATTCATTCAGTAGCTAGTTTATCTATTACATGTAAATATATGTTAGATTATATTCTATATTATGTTCATTCTATGTTCACTTTTTCCAAAGCCCTAGAGGTTTGGTGTTTTTATTATTATTATTTATTTATTTATTTATTTTATTACTTATCTGTATGTATGCCACCCTGGTGGAGGCTGTTTTAGAGGTAGCCAGACCTAACACTGTCTGTGGCTCAGGAGTCAGGAAGCTCTTGAGAAAACTATGTTGTGATACACAACAGCACTTACTTAAAGGCAGGATCTACACGACAGTGGGCCAAGGCAGGTGAAGTGAGCCACTCACCTACACCGTTATAGACAGGCTACTTCATGCTGTGACTGGAAGCCCCGGCCAGTGGATCCTCCTCTTCTAAGGCATGAAGCACTGCTCGAAACGGCTGTTCTAACGAGAAAGCCTAGGTTAGCTCCCTCAGCGCTAGGAGCAAAAGCCCAGAGCTGCCTTTTACATTGCTGCTTGCTGGAAAAGCCAAGCTCGTGCCAACAGAGCCCACGGTCTGAGATGGGCTGCTGAGTGTTTGCTTTTGCAGAGGCAATCTCGCAGTTGGAGTATCTCAGTTTTGTGCAGCCCCCCTTCCATTTCTAAGTGTTTGTTTGCTGTGGTTCTAGAGAACACAAGACCTCGTACACACCAGGCAAACACTCTACCATTGAGCCACCGCCCCAAAGTCATCTGACTTCCTTCCTGAGGAGAGGACTCAGTGGGCATGGGCATCGAACTGGATGAAGAATGAAAGCCATCAACAGCCCAGGAGTCATGCAAAAGCCTTAATGCCCCTCCCCACAGAGAAGATGTGTGCCTTATTTCACAGCATGTCTGCATTTGGACAGGTTTCACTGACTGGAATATACCTGGGGACTGGGTAGGCAGTAGGGTGCTTTCTACCCATCCCTTGTGTAGAGGTGTGCAAGCATCCTCTAGTGTCCTGTAAGAGAGTACAATCTGTATCAGCTGGCACACTGTCATGGGTACGAGGGAACCAAACACCATCAGCAGGGAGTGTCTACCAGCCATCAGCAGGGAGTGTCTACTGGCTATCAGCAGGGAGTGTCTACTGGCCATCAGCAGGAAGTGTCTACCCGTCTTCTTCCCACTTGAGGGTGAACTGGTCTTGTGGGTCCAGTTTCACACGGGTGCTGAATCAACGTTACCATAGAACAAACAGCGGGTGTTGAGCTCAGGGAGCCATGACACAGACACCCCCGGAAGTAGGTACTGTTAGGCACGGTGTCACAGATAAGAAACATCGCCATATTTGACTCCCTATAACTTATGTTCATTTTCCAAGTTCTTCCATCTGACTTTTTCTTGTTGACCAAATAGAGCCATGGAAGTTTCCATGAGCAGATTGCAAAACCACCCCCTTTTCTAAATCTGTTTCCTCCAAACTCAGCGTGCCCACCCGGCAGCTCTATCTGCCCTCTATCACGTGATACTCTTCCTTTGGCATGCCTCTCATGTGCCCTAGATGGGCCAATCCACAAAGGGACAATTTCCCTGGGTCAGGAAGGCATTGCACAGGCAAATGAAAGGCTTAAGGGCACCGTGTTATCAACACCATTTCCCACCACAGAAATAACTCCTCCCTCTCTGTCCCACGGTCTACGTATCCAGGTGGTCTGGTGCTTAAAGGGAAGCGGTTTAAATGATTCTGCAAACTCAATTCCACACCGCTGAAGTCCTACACAATTCCCTGTGTGCCCTTACTTTGCCCTGTAATAAGCAGGGAGGGGACAGGAAAAGCTCACGGCATGCGGGTCCCCGTCATTTTTTTTTTTTTTTTTTTTTTTTTTGGTTTTTCGAGACAGGGTTTCTCTGTATTGTTTTGGAGGCTGTCCTGGAACTCGCTCTGTAGACCAGGTGGCCTCGAACTCACAGAGATCCGCCAGCCTCCACCTTCCGAATGCTGGGATTAAAGGTGTGTGCCACCACCGCTCGGCTCACCGTCATCTTCTAATACGCTAGTCTCAGGCTCCCTGTACTCCCTCAGCTCCTTCCGTACCACTCTGGTCATGAGCTGACACCCCTTTCTTCCTGTCTTTCTATCTCGAGACACAAAGTGATAAGCTAAGGGTTTTAATTTAGCGACTCCATTTTTTACTTTCTCAGCTCTAACTCACCAGATTAGAGCCTAGGGCAGAAAGAAGAGAAACAAGTTGAACTCATCTACAGGCAGCTAGGCACCGATGGCCAGTTAAACCATTCCCACAATGCAATCTATTGGGGGGTTTTATTGACAGAATTTTTTCCTCATCTGTGTGTGTGTGTGTGTGTGTGTGTGGCTTGCATGCACGTGTTTGTCCATGCAAGGCACATGTGTGTAGGTGTGCCTGTACATGGGTGTATATGCTTGTGGAAGACCAAGTTTAATGTCAAGAGTCTTGTCCAGTTGCTCTTCACCCTATTCATTTAAGGCGGGGCCTCTCAGCTGAATGCAGAACTTTGCTGGTGCTAGACAGGCTAGCTAGGCAGCTCGATCCAGGGATCCCCTGTTTCTGCCTTCCAAGTGCCGGGCCACCACCCCAACTCAGCATGTGTATAGGTTCTGGGGATCCAAACCCCCATCCTCACAGTTGTGTGGCAGACATTTTAACCTCTGAGTCATCTCATCAGCCTGGGAATGTGCTGTTAATGATAAAAAGGGGCTTATGAGATAACTCAGGAGTTAAGGGCACTTGCTGCCAAGCCTACCCAGTTCAGTCCCGGGAGCTGATGTGGTAAAAGGAGTGAACCCACTTGGGTAGCTTGTCCTGCGTGCGGCACAGCGCAGGCATGCACACCACACCCCCCCTACAGAAAATGAATGTAAAAAATTTAAATAGTATATTCTTTTCAGAGTCAATATAGAGAACCACTGAAACAGATTTCAAGCGACATGTCCTTCGGTCCCCTGGGTCCACTGAGTGATACGGTGAATCAGAGGAAGGCTTTGATAGATGCTTATTAGTCATGCGCTTTATGCAGTGTCAGGTGTAGGAAAGAGCTAAGATGTAATCACCCTGTCTGTCTTGCTCAAAGCCCATGAGGAGGTCCAAGGCCAGAGTCTTTGTTCCTTTTGAAGTTCAGTCTACTTCTTTTTGTCCAATGTTATTTCCAATCATTTTGCTCTTTGGGTATATTTCCTGTTGGATGTTTAAGACCAAGGCATAGTAAAAAAACAACCGGTTTTTATTGTTCAAGACATTTGATGCTTTTTAGGGGTTACTCTTAGGGACTCAAGAGTAGCTTCTTAGTCTTCTTAGAAGACTGGCTTCTTCAGTCTTTCCTCTACGAGCTGTGTCATCTACTGGGTTGAGTCAGGGTCTTGCTGACCCTTGGAAGCTCTGAAGACATTTCTTCTGTTATCAACCTTCCTCTTGCCAACTGTTCATCAGTTAAAAGCCAACCTCTTCACAGTCTGTCTTCTAATCTGTACTCAGACAAGTTTATCCATGGCTCCCCTGGCCTGGCGTAGCTTCTCTCATCAAGAGGATAGGACAGTTGACTTACCAGAGCTGTAGAAGACTTTGAGATGTGTCCTGTCATGTGCCTTAACCTTGGGGTAAGGACCAACATATTGGCTGTCCTCTTAGTCTCTATATACGTATTGGTGTTGGCCTCCATGTTTGCTTGTTGAACACCCAGAGAGTCAGTTACACCAGTCTTGATGGGAAGTTTGGACATAGGAACATCTCACTGCCTTTTGTTTTAGCTGATATTAAAGGTTAAATTGCTTATCATTGGTTGTTCTCTTCAACATTTAACATAAGTTTCCCAGTGGCATTGTGCATAGCAAAGTCAACCTCTTTCTTTTTCAAGCTTGGGAACTAAATTTATCCTACTATACATCAAGAGATGAATTATTAGTAGGAACAAGGTATGATTGTCTCTCTCAGATATGGCATTCATTTCTTTTAAGGATCAAGGAGGAAACCTGAATTGCCATTTCTTTCCAGTCACAATGTGTCAGAGGTACATAGTCATAGGGGAATCCCTAAGTTCCTCTTAGAACCCAATTAGTATACTAGGTAAAATTGTCTCTCAAGAACAGAACCCATGGTGGAGTTCTGATGTTACTGCTTTAGTCTGGCGTAGAAAACACACTGACGTCATCACACGGCAACAGACATACCAGAAGGTGTAGCCACCCCTCTGTGCTCGGTAGCGCCTGAGTCAGCTTAGCACAGGTGTAGCAGGAGTTAGAAGTTCATGTGGGGAAGCAAGACTAAGTAGCTTGGAGGGCACAGTCATAAGACCAGGAAAGCCCTGTAGCAGGTACAGAAGTGGACACACAGAGAGCTGTGGTCAGGAGAGAGGAGAGAATTGAGGGGAGTCCACACCTTACCACAACGCCACGACAGAGATGAAGATCTGATTGTAACCAAGAGCATCAAAAGATCCCATCTGGACTTCACTTAATCTCCTAGCTTGCAGCTCTTGATTTTACAAGCAGCTGATCCAAGCACCACTCGGTTTTATATAAAGGATGAAGCATCCACAGACCTCAGTCTTCTTTGCTGGAACTGATCTTCTACAGATAGTGAGGGGTGGCTCTAACGTCTTTTAAGAAACCCTAGCAAGTTACCTAACCCCTTCCACCACATGACAGACTCTCTGTGAGGAGATAAACCCTCAGCAAATTCCTTCCACCAGATGACAATCTATCTGTGAGGAGATGAACCCTCACCAAACCCCTTCCACCAGATGACAGACTCTCTGTGAGGAGATGAACCCTCACCAAACTCCTTCCACCAGATGACAGACTCTCTGTGAGGAGATGAACCTTCACCAAACTCCTTCCACCAGATGACAATCTGTGAGATAAACCCTCACCAAACTCTGAACCTGCTGGCATCTCTATCTCAGACGGCGTGGTTTTCAGAGTTATGAGTCTTCAGCTTTTTTCAAATTTTTGAAATTAGATTTATTCACTTAATTTTGCATGTGAGTGTTTTGACTGCATGCATCCTTGGAGCCTGTGGAGGTAAGAAAGGGAACTGTGTCTGGAACTGGAGTTGCAGAAGGTGATGAACCAGCATGTGGGTGCTGGGAATCAAAACCTGGGTCCTCGAAGAAAAGGGCTCTTAACTGTTGAACCAGAGTGATGAACTTCTGTTGTAGCACCCTGGATTCACCGAAGCAACTCCTGCAGGCACTTGGGGTCACACAGAAGTACCTGACGCTCCCAGAGAGACCTCCATCATGGGCACCCTGCTGGATAGCCTGCAGTTCTCAGCCAGGGATGACGTATCCCTGTCCAGAGACAGTTTGTGCTGTTGCATCCGGGAGTATATGAGGAGATGCTATAGTGTCGAGGGTGAGCGATGCAGGGACAGCTCCACACAACAGAGTTCATCGCGTGTGTCAGTACTACCGAGAATGAGCCCTAGTCTCAAGAACGTGGAATGTTAGGTCCTGATCAAGGGCCCGCAAGCTGTGCTCCGTCTAACCTTTTCCTGGCGTGGAGAAGGGCCTCACAAGAGTTGAGGACAAGTGCTACAAGCCACACCCCTGCCTTCTCAGTCACAGGCGAGATGGGGACGGACACACTGCAAAGCCCCTAAACACACTGTAGCTTGAGCAGAGCAGAGGCGGGTGGGATGCTTGCCCCTGTTCACTGAGCCTTAAGAAACCTGGCCCATCTCTCAGCCTTGATGTTGAGGCATGAAGGACCATAGGAGTCTGAGGCGTCTTGTGTGCCACTGGGCATTATTATCTGGGGGTCCCTTTCCCTGCTTAGAACCACTAAATCAGTCCATAGTGTGGCTCCTCTTTAATCCTGGAATGGTAGGCACTCCATGTAGAGTCAGGGCATGAGGCCTAAGGAGGCTAGAAGAGCCAAAGCAGGGCCACCACAGGTGTTGGGAAGGGACCACGGACAAGTCAATCCCCCCTCTTCAGTCTCTTTTCAGTCCCAGGTTGGTCTCACAGCCAAGGATCCAGGTCCTGGAACACTTAGACCCACAGCCTCATCCATGTGGGGCACACAGTGGGTCAGATCCTAACTCTGGGCAAAGCTGCCTTAGTATCCCGAAGCCTTTCCAGCCTTCCTGGCATCAGATGCGGCATAGACACAGGGTCCTTCCTGGGACACAGCCTGGACCACATTCAAGAAAAACAGTCTCGGGCTGTCGCTCTGGCCCCGCTCTCGCAGCCCCTTCTGCACCTCCTGAAGAAGAGAGAAGGGACGTTCACAGAGAGGGCAGCGCAAGTCCCCTCAGCACACAAGGGAGTGACTGACCGAAAGATAGGAAAACAGACCTAGAGAGATGGGACTGGGTGGGGGAGGGGAGGAGGGCCCGAGGACCCTGGTAGGGAAAGACTAGGCAGGAACTGGTCCTAGAGCATGGAGTTTACAGCTTGAACGTATCAGAGGGGCTATGGAAGGACAGTGAACTCAAAGCAGCAACCCATCCAGAACCAAGTTCATTCTGTTCTTGGGTCCACTTCACTGTGGATCCAGAGGACAAAATCTGAGGTATCTAGGGGCTACCATGGATGGAGAAGGTAGCTTTAGAAGACTTGGGCTAAGTGGCCACAATTTTGAATCTCTTCAAAGCAACACCCGTTGGAATCCACTGATGTCCTGGGACATTGAGAGGGACGAAGTACTGGATACTAGGTGTCCAGGGCCATCAACCTGACTACTGCCAAACCATATAGGACAACAGCAACACAGACACAAGGACTCGAGACCTAAAATATTGAGATACGCAGCAGTCAAACTCCTGGGGGCCTCTAACTTTAGGGCTGATAAGGGGGTGTCTAGGAGGACCCAAGGCTGCTGATCCTGTTTGTCCAGGGTGTCCATGCGCTGCACTATGCTCACTTCAGCAACACATACGATAAAATTGAACATTACAGAAAGATTAGCACGGCCCTTGCTCAAGGATGACTTGTAAACTCATGAAGCATCGTGTGAGTGTGTGTGTGTGTGTGTGCGCGCGTGCACGTGCGCGCACGTGCTCATGAATGTAAAGATATGCATAAAGGAACACTCATCTATCCAGCCAGGTATGGCGGTGAATACCTGCAACACAACACTTGGGGGGCAAGAGCAGGAGACGGGGTTATAGATTTGACGTCAGCCTAGGCTACATAGGAAGTCTAAGGCTAGCCTGAGAAAACTTCTGTCTCAAAAGCAAACAAACTCATATGAATCCAAGAAAAGTAGAACCCTGAAGTGGTAGTGGGAGACATTCAGGACGTGGGTCCTAATTGCTCAGGTGTAAGACACTAAATCTGTCAATTTGGAGGTAGAGACTACTGAAGGCCCCAGCCCTGCAATTCTGATTTCTTTGGTGTTAAGGATTTTGATATCCTCGGGGTATGAACCCCCCACTACTGCCATTTATCATGTTATAAGGGAGCAAAACCCCTCAGAACTGCATTTCTTCCGTCCCACACTTCCATGTGCTATTTTGGATTAATGGGCCAAGAATTTTGTCCACTGTGGCCCATTATCCACAGTTGTCCAGGCGTGGCGACATCTCTGCAGTCCCTATAATCAGGTGACATCATGTGACTTGAGCCACTGGCAAGGTGAGATTTGGAGGCACTCCTTGGGCTCTTAAGTTTTTCTGTTTACTGTATAAATTGCCCAAGGGTCTTGGCATTAAGGGCTGAGGTCCTCAGTGCTAAAGCCAAGGTTAAACTTTGAGTCCTCGGAGGCTCCATTTCTCAGAATGTAGTGGCCAAACTCCAAGCCCTTCCTCACTTTGCTGGTGGCTTTTGCTTTTGAGGGTCCTTGGAGACTTGAGGTCTCTAAGCCAGGGTTTATGAGCTTCTCCATGGAAAGCCCTGGGTCTGTGTAACTGACATTTTAACGCCCTGAGGGAGCTGACAATCTTGGCTTCACAGGGCACTGGATTTCATAAATCCCAATTCCCAGACCATGTGTCATCTTCTAAATTCTCAAAGGTTCTCAGAGTGCCAAGTATTAAGGATTAATATTCGCTGAGGACAGATCTTTAGTTTCAAGAGTCAAAGCTCAAGATCCAAGGACTTAAAAGAACTTGTCTTGGATCTTGCATCCTCTAAACATTAGTTCCTTGGGTCTGGTGCTCTGAGAGAACATCTCAGGTCGCTGGAAGAACCCAGCATAGATGCAAAAATGCCAAGAATTTGAGTCCAACGGGCTAAGCCCTGAACCTCAGGATCTGAACAACAAGTTCTCAACACTACAGATGTTGTTCAACTTCTGATGGGATGACGATGCCCCAATAAATCCATCACAACTTGAAAATATTGTAAGTTAAAATGAATTTACATATTTAATATGCCTGACCCGAAGAGATGACTCAGCACTTAAGAGCACTTGTTGCTTTTGCAAAGGAGCTGAGTTCGGTTCTCAGCACCCACACAGTGGGTGGCTCATAACCATAATTCCAGTTCCAGGGATTCCAGTGCCCTTCCAGAGATCATGAACACCAGTCATGGACATGGTACACATGCAGACATGCAGGAAAAACACTGTCCACATAAAATAAATCTACTTAAAAATCAAGTACATCAGGGCTGGAGAGGTGGCTCAGCGGTTAAGAGCACTGGCTGCTCTTCCAGAGGACCTGAGTTCAATTTCCAGCACCCACATGGCAACTCACAACTGTCTGTAACTCTATTTCCAGGGGATCTGACACACTCATGCCAATGCTCATAAAATAATTTTTTAAAAAATCAAATACATCTAACCTATGAAATATCATCAGTAGCCTGACTTAAATGGGCTGAACACTCACTTTGGCCTACAGTGTCATCTAAAACAAAGATTATTTTATTATAAAGTGTTGAACAACTCACGTGTAATTTTCTGATTACTGTCCTGAAGTTATAACACAGAGTGGCTATGTGAGTAATTACCACTGATGTATAATAGACATTAAATGGTTTCCACTGAATACACATTACTTTTGTCTTTTGTAGTGCTGGGAGCTTGTGCATACCTTATCACTGAGCTACATCCCCAACCCTGCACATATGGCCTTTATACCATTAGAAAGTCGAACAATTCATGAGCCAAACTATTATGAGCCAAGGACCGTCTGTTGATGCCACTTTTTACTAAAGGCCTCCTAGTTTAAGGGTTTTTAGAATTTTTTGTTTGTTTGTTTTTTTGAGACAGGGTTTCTCTGTATTGTTTTGGAGCCTGTCCTGGAACTGGCTCTGTAGATCAGGCTGGCCTCAAACTCACAGGGATCCGCCTGCCTCTGCCTTCCCAGTGCTGGGATTAAAGGGGCGTGCCACCAACGCCTGGTGGTTTTTAGAATTCTAAGGGGCCCTGGAAGATGGCTTTGGGAACCAAAATCTTGAAACACAGATAGTTGAAATGATCCTGAACACAAAGTTTATGGCCTCAAACAGCTAATGGTTGTTTTGAAGATTTATTTTTTAATAAATAAATTAATTAATTAAGTTGTTCAAGGCAGAGTTTCTCCGTGTAACAGTCCTGACTGTCCTGGAACTCACTCTGTAGACCAGGTTGGCCTTGAACTCATTAAGATCTGCCTGCCTCTGCCTCCTATGTGCTGGGATTAAAGGCGTGAGCCACCACAGCCCAGCTAGTTTATTCTTGAAAGATTTATCTATTCTTGTGTGTGTGTGTGTGTGTGTGTGTGTGTGTGCGCGCGCGCGCGCACGCAGACCACATATAGGAGCCTGTGGAGGTCAGAAGAGGGTGTCGGATCTCTTATAGTGTAGAGTGGTTGTGAGTTCCGCTGTGGGTACTGAGAACCACTGAGTACCCTTAACCACTGCGCTGTCTCTCCAGCCCCAAAGCTGCTAATATTTGTATGTGTTCCACACGGAAGCATCCAAATTAGCTTCAAAAATCTCCCCAAAGCTAAGTTTCTGGGAAGCAAGGTGGTAGCCACTAAAGAGACTTCAGCCCCTGGTCCTGCTCTGGGGCTTTAGTGGGGGAAACCGCATGTTTGGAGGTAACAGCAGCATGACCTCAATGCTCCATAACAAAACGCCACAGGAAAAGTCAGCTCTTTCACGAATAATGGAACTCAAATGTGAGTTCCACACTACACGTGGGAATAAGGCACCAGGAAGGAGCGCCTAACTGCCACAGCCAGAAAAGCCAGCTTTCTGGAAATGGTAAACACAGAACAAGGTTTTCAAGTCCTCACCCTGGGAGAAAGAAGTTACTGAATTCTTTACAGGGGACAGGGAGCAGCGTGGGCTTCAGGAGGCAGGTGGGACCTCTGTCTCACCTGGTTGAACTCGGGTTCATATGCCACATGGCCCTGGCTGTTGACGTGTAGGATGGGGGCTGCAATGGCTTCCGTCAGGTCAAAGCCAAGCCACAACTTATTCATGATGGTCTGGAAGGGGTAAGAGGGAATGGGGAGGCGCTGGCCATCCTGTCACAACACTCCCATCCCTGCCCCACGGAGTTTGCCAGACAGGAAACAGCCTGGCCAGGAACCCTCAGACTCACCTGGATCACAGCAGAGATGATGAGGTCTCCCCCAGCCCCGCCAATCACCAGCTTGGATCCCTGGGCCTTGTTCACCAAGATGGAGGGTACCATACAAGATGGTGGGCGCTCACCTGGAACTGGGGTCACCAAGCATCACCCACACCCTCCAGGAGTACCACCCGCCCTCCTTCATGCTTTGCTTCGTGATGGGAGTGACTCATCCAGGGGTTAGCGGCCCACCCACCCTCCTTTCTCTCTTCAAGGGAAGCTGGGCGGGAGGCCTTGCGCTCACCAGGTGGGGGAGTGACAGCGGAACCTGGTAGGTGCCTCCAGCATAAGTCCAGTAGCTCGTTGTTAAGGAGGATGCCTGTCCGAGGCGAGTACACCATCGCTCCAAAGCTGCAGATAGGTAAGGTGGAGTCTGACCTTGGGGCCTTGGCTCCCAGCAACACAGGGCTGCAACCTCTCTGGATCCTTCACTATAGTGCCTTCCATCATACCAGAGCCCACCCACAGATCCCAAAGATCCCCTCTGGTCCCCATCAGGACACCTTTGACTCAGGGCCACCTAGCAATAGCTTTTGTCCTCAAGGAATGTCCCTGGTGCCAGAGGGAAAAGCGAAAGCAAGATACTGTCTGCTTAGAGACTAATAAGGGAGGTCAGAGGGTGTAGACCAAACTGCGGCAAAGGAGACTTTGACGTCAGGAGCAAAAGGGAGGGATCTACCCACCTGCCCCTGAACCCTGTCCACCCCGCCTCTCCCCAGGTCCCACACACGGTGTGTTGATGGTGCTGGTAGCTGCCACAGCACTGCCGTCCTCTCCCAACACAGACACATGAGAGGTGCCCATCCTGATGCCCCTGACCCCAGTCAGGTTGTAGTGGCTGAGTTGGTGGTCACCGCGGCCATCGATCTGCTGGCGGATGTGTTCGGCTAGGGCCTCCCCCAGGAGGTCCTGGGAGGTGTCCTGGGGTAAGCAGTCAGATAGTTAGTGAGGAGCAGGCTGGGGTCCTCTGAGCAGATGGTCAGATGAGCTGATTACCCCCGGGAGACCCTTTCTCCAGTCTGTCATAGAAGGGCCTTCCTTGAACCCATGTCAAACCCAGATCCTACCCGATACAGCTACCACCTCAGAGTCCCTTCCACCTCTGAGGACCACTGCCAGGATATCCCTACCTAGAACTACAAAGAAATTTCCTCTACCTTCCCACAGCCAGTTCTGACCCATGCTGTGTTCTAGGGAAGAGATGGGAGACAACACCATCGGTCCCAGGGAGTCTTACCAGTGTCCCTGGGTGACTGGAAGGGTCCCTTAGCCGCCACCTCTGCCCTACTGCGAACTTGAGTGTCTCTACAAGGTGATGGTACATGTCCACTTTCCCTTCAGGCCGGGTCACTGTCTCTGCAGAAAAGTTGAACCCTGGGGAGGTAATGGAGTTCAGAGGTATTACTTTATGTAGTGGGATGGATGTTGGCCCCCAAAGGATTTATTCATTTCTTTATGCCCCAGAATCCATGAATACTGGTTTAGAATTAATATCACATTATATGGCAAAATATGTTAAGGATTTTGAGAGGAAGTGTTTACCCTGGATTGTGTAGATTATGTAGGCTAACCCTAAATGTGATGATTGTGTGTGTGTATGTGTGTGTGTGTGTGTGTTTCAAGACAGGGTTTCTTTGTGGAGCCCTGGCTGTCCTGAAATTCTCTCTGTTGACCAGACTGGCCTCAAATTCAAAGATCCAAACTCAGAGTTCTGACTACCTCTGCCTCCTGAGTACCTGGATAAAAGGCGTGTGCCACCACGCCAGCCACATGCATCTTTTAAGTCAGACACACAGATGAGAAGAGACGACCCCTCTTGTCTGTGGTCTTTGACTTTCAACAGTTTCAGTTACCTGCAGTCAGTCATTGTGTGAAAACATGAAGTGGAAAGTTCCAGAGTCAACAACTCATCGATTGTGAGTGTCCCTCTGAGTAGCATGGTTACACCCTGTGCCGTCTTGCTCCATCACACGGATGTGAGCCAGTCCGTTGTCTAATGGATCATACTGCACATGCTGCCTGCTCTTTAATCACTTCTTAATACCCGCCCTAGCACTGAGACCGGTACCCAGAACCTGGCACATGTTACACAAGAATTCCACCGCTGAGCTCAAAGGCCTCATTAACCATCTCTAGGATCAGGTCAACTGTCACCATACTGAAGGGCTTATGTCAAGATGCCACCTATATTAGTGAATAATCACCTATGTTAGTGAATAATGGCCCCAGTGCGCACTCGTGGGCTTGGTTCTGAGCGTGGCACTGCTGGGAACTGTAGGCTGTGGGACCCGGTGGGAAGGTTAGGTCATGTGCTCAGATGGGGCTGGTATTCTCTCCTTCCTTTTCTTTCATTTCCCAGCAGCCTTGAGAAGGGGCTCTTGCTCTACCACACGTCCCTGCCATGATGCACTGCCTCGCCACAGGCCCCAAAGCAATGGAGCCAACCAAACACAGACAGAAACCGCAAACCTGTGAGGCAAAATTAACTGTTTCTCTTTACAAGTGGGTTTTTAAAAATATTTATTTATTATGCCTACATGCCAGCAGAGGGCACCAAATCTCATTATAGATGGTTGTGAGCCACCATGTGGTTGCTGGGAATTGAACTCATGACCTCTGGGAGAACAGTCAGTGCTCTTAACCTCCGAGCCATCTCTCCAGCCCTACAAGTGGGTTTTTAATCCCAGGTATATGTTATCATAACAGAAAGCTAACCAACGATGGTGATGCTGGTGATTTACCTGTGCCAAAGGGAAGTCATACAGTGCTTCCTGTAGGGGAAAAGGCTGTGTCTGACTGTCCCTAGTTTATAATTAAACTATCACAAGTGTAGCCATAGGGGAACAAGTAGCACCTTTATGGCTTTGTACCATCTGAACCGATGAGGGCGGAGCCTAGCGTGATGCAGCCCAAGACAAGGAAAGCTGGCAGATTCTCCCTGGGAGACTCCAGAGGGAACCAGCCCTGTACACAACCTGCCATGTGACTGTGAGCTTCTGGAACTGTGGGGCCTTGGGCAGTCCCTGTGGGCTGTGACTCCCTGTGCTGTGTGTCGGCCCCGAGTGTTTATACCCGACATGCAGCACACTACCCACAGAGCCTTCTACTCCTGTGCCCTGAGACTGGGCCGTGAACGTTGGAAAAGGATGTCATTTCCTTCTGCACAGTTCCTGAGAGAGACTAACTCTAAAGCATACCATCCTGATCACTGTCCACGGCCCTGGACAGTCTTGGATATCATGCATCTGTTACCTTAGTTTATGTCAAAAAAGACCACACGCTGTCATGGGGATGTCTTGGGTGTCCCCGAGGGTCCAATGGGATTGGAGCCTTGATCCCCATAGTATCCCCATTGGGAGGTGGCTCAACCTTTAAGAGGTAGGACCTGATAAGTCTTCAGGTCACAGGGAGGTTGCTGTCTGGTGGTGGTCCACGTGTGACTCTGGTAGTTCCTACAAGAGGACTGATACGGAAGGAATCAAGCCTGGGAAACCAGTACTCTACCATTGAGCTAAACTCCCAGCATTAAACTGTTCTTGATTGGTAGCTGTGTCCAGCATTATACTATAGTGACAGAAAGCTAATGTGTCCCGCAAAGTTAGGGACGAGCTGGGAGCTCAGGCCCCCTGCAGGGCAGAGCTGGAGGGGGGAGAGAAGGCCTGAGAAGATCTAACCTTTCAGCACATTGAGAACGAAGCTAAGAATAGCACCCCCTGCAGGTGGTGGTGGTGAGTACAGAGTGTAGTTTCCTAGGGACATCTCCAGGGGAGCCACCACTTCAGGCTGGAAGGCAGCCAAGTCTTGAACTGTCAGCCGGCTTCCTGGAGAGAGATGGTGAGAGTTCCAGGTACAGATGGGGATCACCAAAGAGCAAGGAAGAGTTGCTACTCATCCCAGGACACATGAAGACCGTAGTCCCAGAGGGGTGATGGCGAGTGCATGGGCAGCGGTATAGGGTGGACAGGTAGCAAGCTGAGGAAGACAAGTAGGAAATAGGATGAGAGCAATAGCCAACTCAGCCACCCAAGCCTGCCATTGCCTCTTTACAGGCAGACTTGCGAAAAGCTCTGCCACTCGAGGTTCTTGACCACAGAGGCCCCAAAGGCTAGCAATGGCTAGGCTGGACTAGATGGGTACCTGGCCTTTCCCGAATCCCGGGAGCACCCAGTAGTTCTGAAGGGCCTGGGGAAAGGTGTGACTTTAATCCCCAGTGCCCAGAACTGGGCTTTTTCTCTAGCTGGGCTGGGTGTTGGAGCTTCAGTGTAGCTAACCTTCCTTGGCAATGTCCTCCACCAGCATCTGGCCCAGTCTCCCTGTGTATAAGGCCTCCGGACCCTCCGTGGCCACAGTCTCCAGGGTGTTGGCCAGTGCGGGCCATGGAAATGGGTCCTGAGATCTCAAGGTTTCTGTCCCATTGAAGAAGAGCTGTCTGGGGTGGAGGGGATTGGGTAGGAGGCAACTTCAGACAGATGCCAGACCCCAGCGGACACTCACATTCCTCTGGGTTCTAGAGAAATCTTCAGGATTCTTCTGGGAGAACAGTCATGGCCCCAGTACTGAAGAGCTGGGGAACGTGTTCTCTAGAAGTAGGTGGGGCTGGCACCACCACCCGCACTCCTGGCCCTGGAACCTTTCTGGTGTGTGTTTCTCCCAGGGTCACCTTGTCACCTACTGGGAGGACCTATCACTGAGCTAGTATAGTAAGCAAAATGGGCCAGCCAAAGACTGTCTGCCACTCCCAAAGAGAAGCAAAGGGAAGCCAGAGCTGAAGGGATAAGCCGTCCTTAACTTAAGTTAGGTTATGACCAGGGAAAAGCATTGGCTACCCTGGCTATAAGGACTTTGGTGCCTTAGGGTCAACCCTCCAGTTGAGGAACGACCGAGGTACAGCTGGACAGTAGGATATAGATTTGAGGGCCCCCCCACAGTGCTCACCTCAGAGTTGATGAGTACAATGAGGGCCGCAGGAAGCTGCTGTTGAGGAACTGGCTGAGGACAGAGGGCACACGGAAACCCTCCCGGAGCAGAGTGACGGTGGGCTGGAAAAGCTGTGCCCAAGGCAGGCGGCCGTGTCGGCGGTGGGCCTCAGCATAGCCACGGAGCTCCCCAGGGACCCCAATCCACTGGGCCCCTGCACGATATGCACCCGTGCTCAGCCCGGCACAACCATCTCATGCCAGCCTGCTCTCCCAGCTTCCAGGGTCCACGCCTGACCACAGCATCCCTGCATAGACCTCTTGTGGTTCCCACCTGCCTTCCATATAAAAAGACCACCAGGCACTGGATCATTGTAGTAGACAGAACCAGGCCCAGGCTACACCACCCCACCCCTCCAGGAACCTACTCAGCCTTCAAGTAAACTGGACCCCTGTCCCACCAACACAGATCCATTGAGCTCCCCAAGACTGGTCTCCCCCTTGGAAACCCACAACCACTACCCTGAGTCCCTCCCTATGCCCCCACCCCCATCCTCAGAATCTTCACGACAAAGAAGCCTTCTAACCCATCCAAGATGGTCAGGGGTCCACAGTTTCCCATATCCAGAGGTTGTGTCCAATGTCAGCGTGTCACAGCCTGTTCATGAGTCATATGGACTCTTTGGGGAGGGGGTTCTTGACAGGCCCATATCAGAGGGAGTCAGGTTGTCTAAAGAACCCTTCCAAAGGCCTTACCTGTGCCTAGTGACTGGGCCTTTTTACACTGGTCTAGCAGGCCCTGGACATGGCTGGCGGGCACTGTCTCCCGAGCGTTGATGACTTCCACCTTCCCTGGAGTTGAGGCAGGGTAAGAGATGGCTATAACTTGCTCTATATCTTAGTTTCGGTCTCTGTGCTAGCCCTTAAAACACTACATATCACCAGGGATTTACACCATAGAGGCAAAGGCAGGGCAGAATCCCAAGAGTACCAGGGAAAAAGCATGCAAGAAGGCCCAAGAAATTCATGCCCCAGGACTGAAGGGAAGCCCACCTCCCCAGGGGGCATTACACCAGGGCCCACCTGTTGTTGCATTGTAGATGGTAAAGACGACCCCTCCGCCCAGGCCCATGCTCTGCGGGTTAACGACACCAGTGCAGATCAAGGCTGCGATGGCGGCGTCGGTAGGCGAGCCCCGCTGCTGGAGGATGGCTCTAGGGGTCATGACACAGAATCGATTGCAGAGTCTTAGCCCAACCATGGAAGGTTGGGCTGGGTCTGAGGAAGGGTAAGTGTGCTGCTCACCCATTCCTCAGCCTCCCAGGATCCCTAGACAATCAGACACAGCAGGGCCTCTAGTCAAGCAGGAGCTCATTTATTACCACACAGCAAGCATTTTAAAGCGAAAAAGCCACAGGGTGGGGAAACAGCTAATGGTTTAAAGGTCAGCCTGTCGTATGTCTAGGCACCCTATGCTTTACCTAGTGAACACGAGTAGTTCTTGACTTCATCTGGTTCAATCTAGGCAACCAATCATCCTTTTTTGTAAACAACTCAGGACTCACCCATCTGAATTGCCCTCAGTGCCATCTTTGACTGGCTCATGTGCCCTACATCAATAATCTGACTTCCCTACCCCATCTCTTCCTGGGCTCGTGTGACTGGTGTTTACCGGGAAGCAGTGACAGGTTGATGGTCTATCTATTGGCACCAAAAACCAAGTTAGGTGAAAAAACACGCTGAGCTGCCCCCTCAAATCCAGCTACTCAACGGTCCATCACCACACCCAATAGATTGCAAAGCAGGATGGTATTTACACTTCCCTGTGCCACACATAAGGTAGTTCCCATTTTCAAATGACTCTGATACTCCTCCGGAGCTCCCAGAAACACTGGCTCATTGCAACCGGTGGAACCTGGCCTAGGCCACACCCCTAAGACCCATTCTGAGTCTCCACTGTCTAAGCTGGCCTTTGGCAGGTGACCCCAGGATCCTGTTACTAGGGTCCAGTGCTTGGACTAATGAGCCCTACATCTTTTTATTCACCCCCAAGTTTATGACGATGCACTTGGGTTTCAGCTTCTTCATCTGTCCAAGGTCCCAGGAGCAGGTCCTTCAACTCCAAAATGTTGGTGAGACCGGCCTGTGTCACAGTGGCTACTGTACCAGTACATCCTACACAGCTCACCAAGGATCGCCCTTCTTTCATACCCAGAGACCCTCCCCAGCAACTCTGGGATTACCGTTTAACCTCCAGGTACGATAAGGAACTTGAGGCCCACAAGAGTATACCTTGGTCGGTCTCCTTCCACTCTGCCTCACTGTACAGGTTCCTTAACCTCAATGTTAATACACATGGGAACCCCATCACCATACATGTAATCTTGAACGGAAAGGGACAAGAGGCATAACTGAAACAAAACTGCTAGATTCAGGCATAAGTACAATTTTCAAGAAAGATTTAGTGTGTGTGTGTGTGTGTGTGTGTGTGTGTGTGTGTGTGTGTGTGTGCATGAAGGCCCCCAAAGCTAGAGTTAGAAGTGGATGTGAGACCCCGACGTGGGCTCTTGACCCCTCTCTCCAGCTGGGTAAGTACAGAATAAACATCATCAATACAGTTGAAGGGAGAGGGAGAAGTGACATAAACCCACCGGAGCCAAGGCCTCGGCTCTGGGGCCCCTCAGCAGCAGCCAAGCTTGTCTTCTGCTGCCCTCCCCCTGCAAGCCCTTTCTGCTCTCAGCGTCTTTGATTTCCATCTTGTGTTTTTCTTCACCTCCCTGACCTCCTAATGTGAGTCCTTGATCCATATTTGAGCTCATCCATGAAATGCAAACTATACTTACGATTTCTGAATTTATTTTCTATAATATTCGTGTAACAGGTTTTCTTTTGGGCCACCAACCAGTTCCCAAATCATGACACAGAGACTTATTAGTTGTAAATGCTCGATCTTAGTTTAGCTCTTATTTTATTGTTTCTCTTTATGTTTTACCTTGGGCCTCCCTCCCTCCCTCCCTCCCTTCCTCTCTCTCTCTCTGCTTCTCATGTCTGTCTGGTGGCCCAGCTTCTACCCGGGACATGTCCCTCTCTTTCTCCCTCGTTCTCTTCATTCTTCTCTTTTTTCGAGCCTAGATTTCTCCTCCTTATTCTCGATGCCTGCCAGCCCCCACCTGTTCCTCTCCCACCTAGCTATTGGCCATTCGGCCTTTTATTAGACCAATCAGGTGCCTTAGGCAGGCAAGGCGAAACAAACGCCACACATCTTTACATAATTAAACAAATGCAGTTCAGATAAGTGTAACAAATCCTTATGTCATTAGCAAAGGCAGCATAAACAAATGTAACACACCTCTGCCTAGTTACAATAACATTCCACATCAAGTCCTCTTCCCAAAGTCTGGAGACTTCTGTGAAGCCATCTCCAAAGGCCTCACTGGGGGCTAAGAAGCATTGCACATGCACCATGATCTAAACTGCAGTGTTTTTTCCCTCCCATCTCTACCTCCACAAGAGGCTGCTGTCTTCACAGACTTAGAAAACGACATAATGGTGGTACCCCTTGCCTTGAATCCCAGCACTCAGGAGGCAGAGGCAGAGAGATCTCTGTGAGTTCCACCTGTCCACCACCCTAGTCCAAGCTATCCAGCATCATCTGGTGGCTACAGTTACCTGTTGGACCTGGACTCCTGTGTCTGCCTGATTTCTGTACATTTCAATAAAATAATCTGGCCACTTGCCACCAGATAGCCCTGTAGTAGATAACTAGACACACACACATACATACATACATACACACGCGCACACACACACACACACACACACAAACACATTTATTTTATTTTATTTTATTTTATTTTTTGAGACAGGGTTTCTCTGTGAAACAGTCCTGGCTGTCCTGGAACTCATTCTGTAAACCAGGCTGGCCTCCAACTCTCAGAGATCTGCCTGCCTCTGCCTCCCGAGTGCTGGGATTAAAGGCATGTTTTGAGGTTTCAAAGCCAATGCCAGAGCCAGGCTCTCTCTGTCTCTGCCTGTGGATCAGGACATAGCTCTCAGCTACTGCTTAACACCACTCCTGCCTCCATGTTCCCTGCCATGGTGACAATGGACCAACCCTCTGAAAGAGTAAGCAAGTCCCCAGTTAAACGTTTTCTGTTGTAAGAGTTCCTTTGGTCATGATGTCTCTCCACAGCAAAAGAACATCGACTAAGACACACCTGTGCACACACATACACACTCTCACATACTTATATTCACACACACTTAACATTCCTACACACAGGCACAGCCCAAACAGGGGAGAGAAAAAGAGAACTTGCAGGAAGTAAATTAAGAGACATAAAAGATACAAGAAGGTAGAAACCACAGGGCACTGGAGTCCTGTAAAGGCAAGAGCGAGAATGGAGAGGAACTAACGGGAAAACACAGGGCACTGCAGTTCTGTAAAGGCAGCAGCGAGACTGGAAAGGAACTAATGGGAAAACACAGGGCACTGCAGTTCTGTAAAGGCAGCAGCGAGAATGGAGAGGAACTAATGGGAAACACAGAGCCGAGACCAGGCGTGGTGGTGCACACCCTTAATCTCAGCCCTGGGGAGTCAGAGGCAGGCGGAGCTCTGAGTTCTAGGTTAATCCTGTCTTGGTAGTCAGTTCAAGACAGCCAGGGACACACAATGAGAGCCTGTCTCAAAAACAAAAACAAAACACAAAGCAAGTTGTGGATAAAAAAACAAACCAAGCCATGGATTAAAGACCCATTAAAATATATCAGTTTGAAATTGGGTATAAAAATAAATAATAAAATTGTGTATAGCCACAGACAATGCTTTTGCTATTGACAGTGTGTGAGTGTGTGTGTGTGAGTGTGTGTGTGTTTTATGTAGCCTAGGCTAGACTTGAACTTGTGACCCTCTTGCATCAGTCTCCCTCAGATAGGAACATAGGCCCATGTTGCCATGCCTGGATTTTTTTTAATTTGTATTGAATTATACTATGGCTTCTTAAAAATATTCTCTAAAAACAGGGTCACCTTTTATGGATGAAACTTTTTGTATGGCTCTGGGTTTATAAATAAAATAATTACTGGTAATAAGTACTAAAAATATTTATTTATTTATTTTGGTTTTTCAAGACAGGGTTTCTCTGTGTAGCTTTGGAGCCTGTCCTGGAACTCGCTCTGTAGTCCAGGCTGGCTTCAAACTCACAGAGATCCACCTGTCTCTGCCTCCTGAGTGCTGGGATTAAAGGTGAGTGCCACCAATGCCCAGCTAAAACATTTATTTTAAAAGAATTCTTTTTTTGTCTGTAATAACAACCCTAGCTGTCCTGGAACTCACTCCAAAGATCAGGCTGGCCTTGAACTCACCACCACCCAGCCAAAATAGAAATTTTCACTGGTAGGTTCTAGTGGGAGACTTCAGATCACGGGAGAGTGTGTCCACCAAGGAGACCATGGGACCTTCCTCTGCTCCCTTCTCTCACTCTCTGTTCCAATTCCTGGCCGGGAGGTGAGCAGCTGTGCCCTCTCCCACACTCTGCCCTGATGCATTGTTTCGTCACAGGTCAACCGGCCAACCAGTCATGGGCTGAAACTGGCAAATTTGTAAGCCTGAGTAAACTTGTTTTCTTTATAAATGGATTATCAGGGTAATTATTATAGTATTGGAAACCTGACTGGCACGACAAGCTACCACAACTCAAGTAACTCAGGCAGGCCTTGTACTCTGTATTCTGTGTACAGTGCACACAGAATAAAAATTTTACAGTGGGGGAAAATCATAGCCACACGAATGGATTTCCTTGAACATGGTGACTAAGGGCTGGAGGGAGGGCTCAGCTAGCCAGCCAGGGATACAAAATAACTGGAAATACACGTGCACAGTACATACACGAATGCCATCCTTGGTTAGCTCTTGACTGCAGGGCTGGTCAAAGGAATATGCAAATTGATGCAGAGACATCCTGGGCTAGTTGATAGGAGTGCTCTCCGAGACTGATGAGTGTGGGGATGGGGAGGTCCCCATGTACGAAACACAATGTGCAAAAGGACTTGGCTATGGACTGTTGAGATGGCTCTGCGGTTAAGAGCATTAGTTGTTCCTGCATGGACCACTGGTTTGACTTCCAGTACCCATATGGTAACTTACAGCCACCTGTGGCTTCGGTCTCAGGGGATCCAGTGTCTCCATCCTCTGAAGGCACCAGGCATGCATGTG